CCCCCCCCCCTATCCATCTATGCATGTACCCACACTAGCATCCACTGCAGGCTGATCGCTCTTGTTTTTGCTGCAATTTGAGAGGGATGGGTTTCCTGTGGTGAAAACGAGAAAGACTTAGGCAAGTGGAAATATTCACACACTGCATCGTTGGAGTATTTTTGTATTTCTTTTTCATTTTATTTCCTAAGACACTTCTTATAGGAAAAGAGAGAAATGTGAGAAAAGAGCAAAGAGACTCCTGCAGAGGAGGCTATACCCATACTCACATACCAGGCATACCGAGGCATGGAATTGATCCCAAAGGTCACACACCTAATTCACTGTTCTCATTTAACATGACAAACAATTATCCCATGAGGTGTTATATATATCAATAATTTTCTCAGGTTTTCATTGGTTAGAGACGACAGTCAAAATGCGACTTATGGGTCACATTGGTCCCAGTAAGATAAAACCACTAAATGAAGAAGTAGCTGTCAATCTTGCCGCAGAGTTGCTTGGTGAAGGATTTTTATTTGCTGTTGGTGTGGGGACCTTACTTTTTGAGTATCGACGAGGCATAAAGAAAGACGAGAGAAAAGAAGATGAACAAAACAGACATTTGGCAGAACTTGAGGATAAAATGAGTGAAATTGGACTCCTAATAGAAACACAAGCAGCAGAAATAAGAGAACTAAATAGAATGGTACAGGGTCTTCGAGGTAGTAGTGATAAACCTGGAAAAAGTGAAGATACAAAGGCTTTGAAAACATAATGTTTAGGGGATGTATATATTTTGAAGGCATTTTTAATTATAAAAGTAGGTTTAAATAATCATCGTTCTACAAAATCTATGACAATATATTGGAGTAAGAAATTTTTTCCCCATTTGATGAGATTTTTTCCTGTTCTGCATGTGAGATGCTTTGATCTTATCCTCACAATGAGATAGAGTTGACCTGGATATTTTTAAAGTGACTGAACCATATTTCACAATAACTAGTATTATATTGCAATAAAGATATAATATAATAGTGGATATTTCTTTCATCCTTTGTTTTATTGATACATTTTTATTCATATTTTGATTGATACATTTTTTAAATTCTGAATATTGTGAAAAACATTTTATCAAATCCATCAATATTCAAGATAGGAAGGGCCCTAAAACTTGAAAAGGATGAAAGTAAGTCCAAATAGCTGCATTTTCAGGAAGAGCAAAGAAAATCAGACAAAGATGTTGATATATATGCAATACATGCCCTAAAACTTTCTACCCTGAATTGGGGACTCCAGAAATAAATGTACAAGTTTACTGATTTTCACCTTCCCATCTAGTCTCCCTCACAGCTGTCCTAGTCTCGAGACTGAAAAGGCTGCTAGGGAGACTTCTTCCCATCCTCCCTCATAGGAAATTTGTAATGGAGCCAAAAAATAAATAATAGAATAAAGGAAAGAAAGAACAAAAAGAAATAGTGGGAGAAAAAGGGACAGAAAAAGACCCCTTAAATTGAGCCCTTTTAGCTTAAAGGTAGGTTCAATGTTTTCCCATTTCAAACCATGTGTCATTCCCAAGAGTAGAGTATCATATCATTTTTAACTCGTGGATACGCGAAGCGTAGTTTAACAGTTCTGTATGAGAAGACAGATGGACAGAAACGCGAGTAGTTATTTTTAGATTTTGCGGTTTTGCTTACAATGCATGGGATCCCTGTGGAATACGTTTTCAAGGAGCTTGGAACCACACTCGAAAGTGCTCTTGTTGACATGCAAAGGTTTAAAAAAAAGAAAGAATTCTGCACGAGAAATCCTCACTGAGGTCCAAAATCTCAATGGGAACTAGCCAAACAGCTAACGAAATGGCTGCTTTAGTTGAAAAGGGCTTAGAAATCCATGTTTCTCACATACGGCCTTGTGTTTCTGATAGAGGAGCTACTGTCTCATGTTTGGTAAGTTTACCTCGACTACCTATCTAAGTTATCAAATAATAAACCTTCTTTATGCTAAAAAGGCCAAAAACTATCGATAATTAAATAAACTAGTATTATATTATCTTCGCGAGGGTTGAAATTTGCTGGCAAAGATTATTATTAAGATAATTTACCTTTTCATCATTTTTGGCAAAGATTCACTATTATTCTCTCAGCTCAACGTGCATGCAGAGAATTATTGATGACAAACTTCCGTCATGGAGCAATTCTTTCGCATTATTTCATTCCTTAAGCAGTAGAAGAACTCATTTGAGACATTCTATCCTCTATAGTGGAAAATTTGAAAATTCTAATAAATTTAGGAGCAGGCGTAGCTCAGTTGGTTTCGAGTCCTCTTTAATCCATGTAGCTTCAGCTTTGAATACTCTTAAAACAGAACGCTGATAGAGGGGGGGGGGGGGGGGGGATAAAGTGCGCACTGTCGGCTTCCATTGATAGCAGTTGAATTTCAACTGAAGGAACAACCGACGTTAAATGTAGGTACTTTACCTTTTAATTTATAGTTTTCTCGCTCACAAAAATGTCATGGCACACAGGGAACCCACTAGCTAATAATAAGACAATTTGTGTTAATTAACTGAAAAAAAGAAAGTGTGCAAGGGAGTCTGGTAGTAGAGGTCAGTGACACCATCATGCAAACGTCTTATTGAGGAAAAAAATAGATTGTACTGTAGAACATGAATGAATATAAATATAAAGTGCCCCCCTTTATTTGGTCACCCCCACCACCTCAGAATCCCTATACTGCCCCACTCCACTCCATGAATTATAAATACACTATTAGATAGATTTCTTTTGTCTGTTCTTAAGGTCCATGAATCATGGCTCAAAGATATCATCAATAACCCAGGTGATATTCTCCGTTGTAAATACATCCATCCATCATCGGAGTATGAGAGGCAGCTAATGTTACAACCCTCGCATATTGGTCCATACCCTCCATGGGCTAGGGTATGCATCAAGATGTTACAAAAACCCATTGTAGTTGGAAGTTCTGAAAGGTATGTTGTATGAGCATTAAAACATTTACTGTTCTCCCAAACCCTGAACATTGAGGTACATTAGATTGGAAAATATTAGAGACAACTATGCAAAATTGTAAAAGTAGGGGGGTCAAGATTGGAAATTTTTGTGGATATAAGCAAAGCCCCTTCCCCTCTGTGGTCCTTGTTAGAAAAGTGAGACTCATATTTCTTTATTATGCTATATGATTTATATAGTGCTGTTAATTTCTACATCATATATATACTCTCTCTAACACACTTCAATTACGAAAGGTGGCTAGTATAAGTATAGACACCAATAAGGATGGTCATTGCCAGATTTTATTTACATCCTCAGTGGTTCCTTTCTATTCCTCTGATTTTGTTGTGGATGACACATAAGTGTGGGAGATGAGAAGTTTTCATTTTAATAGATTTTACTTGAATTTAGCTACAATCAGAGTAATATTTACTGCTATCTCACTATCATCATAGATTAATCAGAACAAGAAGTCGACAATGCAGTTCTGAGTTCACAATGGGGTTGACAGTAGCAGAGCTTATGAATGCTGTTAATCAGGAGGCATTCAGACACAACTGGAATGAAGCAGTGGAAAAGTATTCATTGGCAATGGCATATCTTCCCAAATCTAGACAGGAAGCACTGGATGGAAAGGTAAAGGTTGTCTTTTATATTATTATCAAACTTTTATGAGAATTGGGAACTGATATTGCCTTCAAATTTTATCAGTACACTGAAACAACCTCTGGGCTGATCTAATAAGTCAGGGCACGGCTAACTCACAGATTGAACCCTGAAAGAACCTCTGGGCTGATCTACATGTAAGTCAGGGCGTGGCTAACTCACAGATTGAACCCTGAAACAACCTCTGGGCTGATCTAAGTCAGGGCATGGCTAACTCACAGATTGAACGCTGAAACAACCTCTGGGCTGATCTAAGTCAGGGCATGGCTAACTCACAGATCGAACCCTGAAACAACCTCTGGGCTGATC